CGTAAAAAGTGAAGGAGTTTGTTTTGGGAAACGATAAGTGTGCTTAGGTTCAAGGGCGTAGTTTGTGTTCCTACAGGTGATGAGTCGAGAGGAACAATTCTAGAGGAAGGGCACAAAAGCAAGTCGAGTATACACCCTGGAGTGACTAAGATGTACCAAAATTTGAAGGAGACCTTCCAGTGGCCTGGGATGAAGCAAGATATAGCTCTGTATGTTACTAGCCGCTTAACATGTCGAAGGCCAAGGTAGAACATCGGAGGCCGTGTGGAATGCTACAACCACTAGAGTTACCCGAGTGGAAGTGGGACAAGATATCTATGGATTTTATTACCCACCCGCCCAGGATCTGCTAGAGGACATGACTCCATCCGGGTCATTGCAGACAGATTGACTAAGTGTGCCCACTTCCCGCCGGCCAATCTAAGAATGTCTATGGACAAATTGGCTCAGCTTGTACATCAAGGAAGTAGTGAGGTTACACCGGGTACCCTCCAGCATTGTGTCGACGTAGACACAAGGTTCACCTCACGATTCTCGCAGACTTTACAAGCAGCATTAGGAACCGGACCGAGGCTTAGTACCGCCTACCATCCCCGCATACGACGGACAGTCCGAGAGAACCATCCAAACCCTAGAAGATATGTTGAGGGCTTGTGTGCTGGATCATATGGGGGCTTGGGACGAAGTACTTCCCTTAGCGTAATTCACATACAATAACAGCTTCCATACCAGCATTGGAATGGCACCTTTGAGGTTTTATACGGAGGAAGTGTAGGACCCCTTGTGTTGGTATCAGGATGGTGAGAAATTCCCGGTCGGGCCGTAGTTAGTACAACGGACTACGTACAAAGTGAGGTTAATACAGAGCGTAATGAGGATTGCACAGAGCCGCCAAAAGTCTTATGCGGATAGGAGGAGGAGACCCTTGGAGTTCTCAACTCGGTGATCATGTTTTTCTCGTAGTCGTACCTATGACTCGGAGTTGGGAGAGTCATAAAACCCAAGAAGCTAACCCCGAAATTTATTGGACCCTACCGATTACCAGCGTATTGGACCAAGTAGCTTATGAGATTGCCCTCCCCCTCCCTTAGCAAGGCCGCACCTCGTATTCCACGTATCTCAATCGAGGAAATACGTGTCCGACCCGAGCCACATTTTGGAAGCCGATGAAATCCAAGTGAGAGAAGATCTGTCTTTTGAAGCCACTCCAGTGAGAGTAGAGGACTCACAACTCGGACAAGTATAAAGGTAAAACCATCGTAGTGGTCAAGGTAGTCCGGAATACCAAGCCGAGTGACTACACATGGGAACTAGAGGAAAAGATGCGTAAGAACTATCCGCAACTCGTTTACTGGTAAGTATGATTTTCGAGGACGAAAATTTTAAATTGTTGGGAAGTATTGTAATATGTCGTAATTAAAAGAAAAATAAAAAGAAGAAGAGAGAGAAAACCCGGTTTTCTTCTTCTTCTCCGTACAAACGTATCCCCCATCTCCCTAACTCAGCCTCTACCTTCTCTCCTACAGATCAAGACTTCCTTCTTCCCCAATCAAGAATCCGAGACCGCCGTTGTGCTCACGACGTGAGAATAGCGTAAGACCCACCGATTAGAATTTCGTTTCGGTAAGTTTGAATTTTAGGGTTTTTGCTAGTTAAAATTTGGGGTTTTGAGAATTTAAGGAATTAATTGTGGAATTAAAGGTTTCCTCTTACTCTATCACTCCCCAATTTCATGTTTTCGGGTTTAATTTTGTTTATTACTTCAATTTCGTTTTAGGATTTTCCAAATTGGGGAGAACGGTACAAATTAGGTGTTTTGGCATTCCTAAGGTTTTATTGGAATTAGGTTGACGTGTAACATCACCCTCGTGTAAGTGGAAGCTTCTTTAATTTTTACTGGGTTTGTATTGATGAAAAGTTTGATAAAGTGAATGATGAGTATGTTTGTGAGATATATATATATATATATGTGTATATATGTGATATGAGAGTATGCTTGTGAGGTATATATATATATATACGTGCTATATGTGATATGAGAAGTATGTTTGTGAGATATATATATATATATATATATATATATACGTGCTATATGTGATATGAGAGTATGTTTGTGAGATATATATATATACGTGCTATATGTGATATGAGAGTATGATTGTGATATATATATATATATATATATATATATATATATATATTATATATATATACGTGCTATATGTGATATGAGAATATGCTTGTGACACATATACGTGCTAGATGTGATATGATATTGTGAGTACTGTGGAAACCTTGCAAAGGTAAATTGTTGTGAAATAGATATCTTTGTATCATTGCATTTCCAAATTGTATGGTTGGTTTGTGTGGTTTGAAGGAGAAATGATGTACCGTTTTAAGTGAATTATGATTGCATAGTAGTTGAGAATTTTAAATGTTGGACTGGACATTTTGAACCGTATGATGTTGGTTTGATTCTAGAAACCATGAGTAAAATAAGTGTGTATGAAATAGTTGTTGAATGATAGATTTGATGTACTCGTATAGAATAATGTGTATGGAATTATGGATAGGCGTAATAGGGTATCCAGACTTCCAAGATGTTCCTAGTCATATAGACGAAGACATCTCGTGGTGGGAAGTCGATGGAGACACAACATAGTGTCAATCCTATGCATGTGTCGCTCCGATGAGAGGTTGAAAAAAAAAAGAAATGATATTATAGGCCTGGGGCCATGAAATTTTAAGGGTCCGGGACCCCAAATATTCCTCATCGTGTGTCTACCTTATCGGTCCGAATTCCATATAGTTTTCCTGAAAGCGTCGGCCTTGTCGTGTGTTGTGATTGTAAAATGCTAGACTCTCCGATGAGTCTAGTTTTAGGATGTTTGTGAATTAATAAGTTGTTGTTTGCAATGTTACAATGTTCTACATATTTAATCAAATGGTAGCTTATCTTTGCTTTTGTTGTGTGCTTGATCTTTGGGATCCTCGCTATGATCGTGTTATACACGTGAGCAGCATTCCAAATCTTCTACAGGTGGTAGTAAGACCCAAGTGATTTGGGAAATGGAGTAGAGACCTCCTAAATTTGAAAGAGTTATTTTGTGTCGTGTAATTAGGTGTAAAACATTTGTGTAATTAGGACTTTTGATGTGTGATGTTTTCTTTTCTTTTTCTTTTCAACTATTCTGGATATGTAAACCGAACTATTATCTCTCTCTTAGGTGAAAAAGTTATTTTCTTCCTTCATTTAGTAAAAATTTTAAGTAGAATTTACTAGGTTGTTACATATATTTATATATTTACACGAATATATATTTATATGTATATAAATATAATTTATTTGTAAATTATTATAAAAAAATTATAGTAGTTTAGTGGTTGGAGTATCAATTTTCAACTCTAAAATACTTGATTCAAATCCCGTTAGTGACAATTATCTAACTTAAGTAAATTTTTGGCTGAAAAAAATAAAAATACTTTCAAGAAAATATATATAAATAAATATATATTTTCACTGATATATATTTATTTATATATAAATATAATTAATTTGTAAGTTATTTTCGGAAAATTACAGTAGTTTAGTGGTTGGAGTATTAACTTTCAACTCTAAAATACTCGGGTTCAATCCTGTCGCTGACATTTCTCTAACTTAAGTAAATTTTTGGCTAAAAAAATAAAAATACTTTCCGTAAAATATATATAAATAAATATATATTTACACTGGATATATATTTATTTATATATAAATATAATTAATTTGTAAGTTATTTTCGTAAAATTACAGATGTAGTTTAAGTGGTTCGAAGTATCAACTTTCAACTTCTAAAATAGAATCTTTCGGAATGTATATCGAATAAATACTTAATGTATATGAATTAATTTTGGTTAGTGAAAACTATAGTTCAATCGCTTAACTAAAATGCGTTCATCGTCTGGGAACCGACGTTGAATGTCTAAATTAAAAGACTTTCAACGTCGGTTCATCTAGAACCGACGTGGAAAGTGCTTTCTACGTCGGTTAACTAAGAACCGACGTAGAATGTGTCCAACATTCAACTTTCAACGTCGTTTTTTAACCAACCGACGTTGAAAGTGTATTTAACGTCGGCTCAGCTTTAATCGACGTTAAATGACGACGTTGAAAGCATATTTTGTAGTAGTGTGTTTTTAATTTTTTTTTTTTTTAAATATGCATGAAACGATTTTTTGTATTAAGTACTTTGTAAGATGAACTCAAAGATCATTATTTTATTAGGTGTCACAAAAGCACGTCTCAATTTCAAATTCAATCATTTAAAGTCTCTCTGATCATGTATCAATTTCCTTTTTTATCAAGTTAACCTACATTTATCTATCTAAAATTTGCCTTAACCTTTAGGTATGGCGTAACAGTCACTTTATATCCTAAATCACATTCTTTTATAATTTGTTATTGAATTACAATTTTTTTTATTGTATTTTTAACATTATCTTCCCATACTTTAGCCTTATTCTTGTAAAAAGGAAAATATATTTCACGTTTCTATATTCGCAATAAGTAATTAGATCGGAAAGTTTAGTAAACAATAAGTTACAAGTACTATTTTTATTATTTATATTTTAAATTGATTACAAATATAATTAGTTATAATATAAATAGATGATTTAGATGTGATAATCTTACATTTTAGAATACATTTTTGTTTTATATCATGAAGTGAGCCCAACCATGTAATAATTACACAACATTCTTTTTTAACGTGAATAATCGATAACAAAATACATTTTCGTCAAAATATTTTTATCATTAAAAAATTGGGGTGTGAACTTAGCAAGAAATACTCTTATGCAGGAACCAATACCCTTCTCTCATTGGCCCAATTTAGGCCCTCCGTAATGGAACCGAAAAGAAGCTACGGCCCATATATAAACCTAAGAAAAGGTTTTTGGATTCCGAACATTTATTTCTCCGGCGTGGTTGCACTCACTCACTCCGAGACCAAAACGACGCCATGCCTACCGTCAGTGTGGGCCGGGATCGCCTGTTTGCGGCACTAGGAAGAACTTACAGTGAGCTTCCATTTCTCTATCGCTCTGTCAAAATCTCAATCAATTTTCCCTTCGACCTCACTGAATCCGCCATTTTGTTGATTCTTCTTTTGTATCTCAGCGCAAGAGGAATTCGAAGACTTGTGCTTCAGTTTCGGGATCGAGCTCGACGACGTCGTAAGCATTTCACCGTCGTTGTTATCGTCTAAGCGCTGAGCTTCAATCTCTGCATTTTTTAATTAGTAATAATAGTAATTGTTATCAGAACCATCTGATGAATTCAGTGTGATTATATCAGACGACGGAGAAGGCAATTGTAAGGAAAGAGAAGCATTTGGATGAAGAAGAAGTTGATGAGGACGAAGAAATTATCTACAAAATCGAAGTTCCCGCCAATAGGTACCACTGAATGTCTTTGATTTTTTGCTGCATATGGGAATTATACAAATGTTTTAATTATGGTCACATTTTTTGTTTTCAATTCATTTGTTTTACTTTATCAGTAATTTGACTCGTGTGGTTGTATTTACTGTGCGGTCAGTGTAGATGATTCAATAAATTTGTCGATTTTTCATGATGCTTTTTTTGTTGTATTTGGGATTCATACTGTATGCATTGTGAAATCAGATTTTTATACTTTAGTTGGAGATTGACAAGGTAACTCAAGCATGTTGATTTTTCAATAGGAATTAATGCTGGCGGGAAAATATATTGTATACAAAAATTACTCAAGTGACAAGTCAGAATGAATGATGTGGTTCACCATTCTCTCATTGCAATTTGCAAATTCACTGAATTTTGAATTTTAAAACATGCTTGTGCTAAGTGCGTAACTATTGAAAACATGTTATTACACATTGTCACCTTTCATAGTTTATTCTGACAAATATATTTCCGTATTGAAAAAATGGTTTTAACTTCCTTTTTTGTTGCATAGATATGACCTCCTGTGCCTTGAAGGGCTTGCTCAAGCCCTCAGAGTCTTTTGTGAAATCCAGGAGATCCCCTCTTATAGATTATCTGACATTAGTAAGAATGCAATGTTGAAAATGCATGTGAAACCAGAGGTAGTTATGTCAAGCTTGTGGTTTTTAAGTATGGGTCTTTGCTAAGTTGAAACTGACATGTTTCTTTTCTATCATTTTAGACTTCTGTGATTCGTCCATTTGTTGTATGTGCTGTTTTAAGAGATGTAACTTTTGATAAAGCAAGATACAACAGCTTTATCGATCTCCAAGACAAGCTTCACCAAAACATATGTCGGTAATGTGTTTTGTTTGCTGCTTTATTCATTTTGAGTTGCATACTACTTGTCCCTGAATTCTAACCACAATAGGCTATCAGATTTGAATGCAGTCCAAATAATATGTTTCTTGTTGCCAAGTCTGTGATAAAATGCTTCCATAGCTTTTATATAAAGAAATTCTTGTGTTTTGTTTAATAATAATGTATATTTATTTTGAATTTCTTGCTTTGCTATTTGCATAGAAAAATGGAAAAATCCCTTGTGCTGGTAGGTATTGTTTTACTCTTATTTCCACATCACGTAGTTTTTCTCTAAATTATAGTTCTTTTTTCTCCATTAGTTTATCTTTATGTTGCTGTTGGTCATATCATGTCATGACATACTTAAATTTTCTGAACAAATTTTCAGGTAATTGTTTTCATTCTTTTCTGTTTTTTCAGCCGAAGAACTCTTGTTGCCATTGGAACCCATGATCTGGATAAATTGGAAGGTCCTTTCACCTATGAGGTTAATTTCTTTTATCAAATTGTAGTGCATGAAAATTAAATATTGTGAACTGTGGATAGATAGATAACTTACAGACATTAGGATTGAGATCCACATTTGGGTACTATGTTTAAAGAAGCAGGAAACCTACAGCTTAGTGATCCCTAGACAAGGAAGTTGTTGGCTGGCCACATTGATTGATTGTGATGGATGTACATCATTGACATATCACTGTGCTTTGACCTTGAACTTATTGGTTTATAAGGAAGTACAGTGATGCTTGATGTGTTTTACTGCTGTTTATAATAAAAAAATGTATTTTAATTTTTCAAAACCAATTAACAACCATTTTCTTGTGTAATTTAATTATATCTCTAGTTATCTAAATCATCAGTAACAGTGAGCTTGCTCATATGTAATTTCCCAGGCTTTGCCACCTTCGAGTATAACTTTTACGCCACTAAAGCAGGTAACATTTCTTTATGGCATTCAATTTCTTGGTATGCTAATGTTTGAAATCAGAGCTGCTATATGATTCAACAAATAGTCTATCACGTATTACACTACAGATAACACTATATACTGGACTTCAAATTTTTTATGTAAACTGCCAAACTTATCTTTTGTCTTCTTTACCCTTTTGCTGTTGGCATGATAGGAAAGGAACTTCAGGGCTGATGAGTTAATGGAGTTTTACAAGGTGAGTTTTGTGGGATATTTTCCTTGTTGTATATACCAATATATATTAGAAATATAGAAGGTAGGCTTAGAAGTTGTTTCATACCTGAATACCTGTTGGTTTGTTTGACAGTCAGATTTGAAACTGAAGAAATTCTTGCATATAATTGAGGACTCCCCTGTTTTTCCTGTTTTATATGACAGTAAGAGGTATTATGTTTTCATAGTATCCTTGTATTTAAAATTTCAAAGATCTATAATCTTGGATCTCTTTTGTGTTAGGCTATGGAAAAAGTACTGTCCAAGATGATATTTTCATTTATACTGGTATTTAAATACTGGTGAAATTACTCATTTGCTCCATATGCTTCAATAAACTTTGCCTTTTAGTCCATGCACTTAAAAATCATCCATTTTAGTTCTTAAGCATACTTTTCTTAATATTTTTTAGTCTCTATGACTTTAGACTTTTGGAAATAAACGAGATTAAAAATGATATTTATATTAGGGACTAAAAGGGATTAAAACGGTATTTTTGTTTGTTGAGCCTAAAATAGATCATTTTTAAATATAGGGACCACAAGGTAAAGTTAGGGACTAAATGAGTAATTAAAGATTTGGAATCTTTTTTCTCCCATTTGTATTGCATTAAGCTGTTAGAATTTTGTAGAATTCTATAGGTAGTTATTAAAATTTAAATTTAACAATTATAATTATGGATAACTATACAAATTCTGGCATAACTATATGTTCAGGATAACTATATAAGTTCTGGCATAGTAGTAAAAGAAAAACTAAATTTATATGATTGATCTGATTTCTGTCTCAAAGTTATATTTAAATATCTTATGGGCTTAAATTCTAATTTATAAAAATTAAACTGACAGGCTTTGAGGATAAAGTGTACTCATTGTGTGCAATGTAAACACACAAGTGCGCACTAGCCATTGTATAAATGCATACACTGAAAAATCTTTAATGTATTCTTCAATGAGATGCATTCCAGTTTCCCACTAAAATTTCATCAGGTTAACTTGCTGGAATTTTTTTAATTATTGCTCTTTGTAAACTTTCTATTGGTTGTGCGTTTTGTGAACAAAAAACTACTGTCTCTTGACCTTCAATTTGCTCTAGTATTCTACTTACATGCAGTTGTTGAATTAAACTATATTAATATGCTGTAATGTTTTGACAGAACTGTATTATCTTTACCCCCGATTATTAATGGTGCACATTCAGCCATCACACTGGAGACAAAGAATGTATTTATTGAATGTACTGCTACTGATCTGACAAAGGCAAAGATTGTTTTAAATACAATGGTAGAGTAGTGAGTTTGTTGTATGTTTTTCTATTTGCATTTTGTAAGCAGTACAATAGTTTTAGATTGATGGCAAACTATTTATGTTTTCTTAGGTAACAGCCTTCTCAGAATATTGTGCACACAAATTTATCATTGAACCAGTTGAAGTGATTTCTTATGATGGCAAGTCAAACATATACCCTGATTTATCTGTCTACAACATGGAAGTTTCTCTATCTTACATTACTGGATTGATTGGGGTATCATTGGAGGCAGAAGAGGTATTGCTGCTTTATATTGAGTGGAATGCTCATGCACTTGCAAATCGAATATTGATAAATCTTTTCAGCTTACTATTAACATATTTACTATATGGTGTCAAAATGATTTGTGATGCTTCTAGTTGCTGATTATGAATGTCTAGTTTTGTTGTGTTCCTTAATTATTTAAATTCTGGGTTCATATAGAAGTTCCTTCAACACGGTCATCAATTTGGGTTGATTCCTGATCTTGGTGTGGAATCAGATATAATTTGTTCTTAGTAATAAAAAACATAATCTTTTTCTGTTTCATGTGACACATTCACATTAAAATGCAAAAACATGAGTAAGACAGCTCTCTGGCCCTTTTTTTTTTTTTTTTTTTTCTATATTTTAATCTTAATTCTGGGATTGGAAATTTGTCCATATTAATTTATCTTAAGGATTTAATTTCTGTACATTTATGGAAGCATTTTACTTTTGAGTTTATGTTACTTGTTTTTTCATGCTATTTTTTTTCTTGTTAGTCTTTGTGTTGCTGATACATTGCTTCTAGTGCAGGATTCAATGCTCTCGTGTTTTTTAATAATAGGCAAGTGAAACGAATATTGTTTAACTTGTAATTATTGATTCATAATCTTCTCACATTCCTTCAGGTCACCAAGTTCTTAAATCGGATGCAATTGCATGCGAAGCAATCTACATCTAATAAAAAGCAGTGTAACTTTGTAGTATATGTACCTCCTACTAGAAGTGATGTTCTTCACCCATGTGATGTTATGGAGGTATTGATAATGACAGGCTTTTTGTCATTCCTGAATGCATGGTGGATGTTGTGGGTGTATATATTTTACTGACATTTATTTTTTCACCTTTTTCTATCTATATAGGATGTGGCGATTGCTTATGGATTCAATGCTATTAAGGATAAAGCAGTAGTAGACAATAAGGGCTCAAAGAGGTTGGCTGCTTCCCTGACTCTACTTCCTCTGAACGAGATCAGCGATCTTATCCGGAAAGAGGTATCAAACAAAATAACATTGGAGGACTTGTTTGAGGTCCCTAATTATCTGAATCCATTATTATTTATTCCTAGCTTCTTTTCAGGTTGCATTGATTGGGTTTACAGAGGTCTTGACATTTATACTCTGCTCTAAAAAGGAAAACTTTGCCATGCTTAACCGCAAAGATGATAAATCTAAAGCAGTTATCATTGGAAACCCCAGATCTTCGGACTTTGAGGTTCATGCACTTCATCTTTCTTTTCCAGAACAATGTTATGGTTTATAATGTAGTTTACTTAACTGCAATGGAAGAATAGAATGTCTTAAAACGGTCCTTCTTTACATTGTTTACTTATTTATTTTGCATAGTTCTTGTAAGCGGTTTTTTATTCTTTCCTGTGAGCAAACAGTTCTTAGTTCTCATTATAGCCTTTTATTCTTTATTTCCATGATCTTGGTACTGTTGTTTATACACCTTTTTGTAAATTATGCTAAATTTTATTTTAAAAAATAAAAGCATGGAATGGTATGCATCTGAGAGGATGGCAGCGCAGATGCATCCAGCCAGCCATCTAGAAATCAATTTACAAAGCTGACTTGATTATCTTTTCTCATTACATCAGACTGTTTTATTTTCCTTTTTAATCTTCATGCTGCATGGAAATGAATTCTGTTCCCTGTATCGTAGTGCAATCATTAGTATTCATATTCTCCTATATATATATTTTTTGTTTTAGTTTTTGCTTGAAATCATATAGTTTAATTTTTAAATCTTACATGTATTCAGGCTGTGCGGACTAGTCTTATGCCTGGCATTTTGAAAACTGTTGCTCACAACAAGGATCATCCAAAGCCTATAAAGGTATTTTTTTTTTCAGTTCTTCCTTGGGGTGATTGAACTTTTTATCATAAGTCTATACAACAAGCATATTTTCTATTGTGGAAGTGTGTTAATGCCTGTGAAAGTAAGTTATTTGGGGTCTTTGGTTTAGTTAAATCCTTTCAATGTAACATTTTATTAATCTGCATTGTAAATTATTGTCCAAATCATTATGTTATTTTCACATTGGTACCTATTGAATATATAGAAAATAGGGTTTGAGATTCATTTCCCTTGTGTATAAACCACACATAGGGTAATCTATTTATGATAGAGAGAGGTACAACTAAAAGAGTAATTGAAAGTAAATAGAATAAGCAGAAGATATTGTTTGTTATTGTGGTTAATAATATCTACCAATATTTTAACAATATCAAACAATATTTAACAGTACCCTATGAAGCACTGACTCCGACACGGACACTGAGACACAACACGGACACGCGGACACGGTAAACTTCTAAAATATAGGACACCGGGACACCTTATATATATTAGACATGAATAAAAATTTAAATATGATTCAAATGAGAAATATATAAATTAAAAATTAAGATTTGTTCATTCATCTTCTCATGACAAAGTTGTTAGATTTTACAATTTTCATATGATATCCTAACCAAAAAATACTAAGAACTACTATTTCACAATATAAAAACTTTGTCTTTTTACAAAAAGAAAGTCTCAAAATAAGAAGATGAATCAAATCTATTAAAGACAGTGGTCTTCGTGATCATCATCATTGAAAAATACACTCTCTAACTCTGGTTCATCAAGTGATAAATTAGCAACTTCAAGCATTCCACTCTCATCTAGTGATCCAAATGCATCTCCTGCTATGTCCCACATTTTTGTTTCCTCTTTGTTATATTGTGGAGAATTCCTTGAAAGAAGACAGAGGTTGCTATGAACAAATATTAGATCTTCTGCCCTATATGGTGCCATCTTGTTTCTTTTCATAGAATGAATAAAAGAGTAAGTGCTCCAATTTCTTTCACAACATGAAGAAGAGCATGGTTGCCCAAGTAGTTTAAGAGCAATTTTTTGAAGTATTGGAACATGAGCACCATAAACAAGCCACCAAGATTTTGCATCCATCTTACCCCTATCACTTAATGAATCAATGTCATCAAAACCTTCTCTTCCATCTGAAAAATTTGCAAACTCTACATTTACTTGTCTCCTCATATCCACATCAACAAAATATCGTTTAAAACATTTCACCCTTTCACGAGTAAATTCCATATCTTGATGTGGAGGAACTCTATTAGAATCTTCACTTAGCCATTCATGACTATAATATCTACAATATAAATAAAAATCATGATTACAATAACATATAAAAATGTAACTAAAATTTTATTTAGGAATATAAAATATTACCTTGGATTTAAAGAATGTGCTAAACAATGGAGAGGTGTGTTACTCTTTGTCCAACGTTCAATTAATATGGAGTGCACAACATTATAAAAGCTTGATTCTTCACTTTCCGCCTTTCTTTCATATCGATAAATGGCTTTTCTCACATTTTCAATCATTGAGTCCCACATTTCATATACTAAATGGAGAGATGAAGCTTCCGTATCCGTTTTTCTTAGAACATCATAAATGGGACTAGTGAAAGAAAGTATATAATCAACCTTATCCCACCAAACATCATCCAATAATGTATCTTTCACAAATTTAGCTTTTCCAACATCATCTTCCTTGTAAGAAGACCATTCATCACTAATAACCATCTCTTGGAGTCCTTTTTTCAATTGCTTAAATCTCTTAAGCATGACTATAGTAGAAGCAAATCTTGTTGGAGCAACGGAAAGCAACTTTAATGAGTTGAATGAGTTGAAAATAGATAACCTCATTGAGTGACCCATGATGAAATTTTTTATGAACATAGCATCTTCTCCTATATTTGTGATCCAAGAACATTCTTGATAAGCAATATTGTTTTTTTCTGTGTTCTTTGCTGCACATATATTTTTCAAAATAAGATTTAGAGTGTGCACAACGCAAGGGGTCCAATAAATACAAGGAAAATCAGCTTCAATCATTAAACCTGCGGCCTTACATACAGGTGCATTATCAGTCACAATTTGCACCACATTTGAAGGTCCAACTTCCATAATTACATCTCTCATTTGTTTGGCTATAAAATCTTTGTCTTTAATCTCATCAGAGCATTCTATAGCCTTCAAAAACATAGGTCCACTCTCTGTAACAGCCATGAAATTAATGAGAGGTCTTCTTTGGGGATCACTCCACCCATCACTAACAATGCTAACACCTTTTTGACTCCATGTATTTTTTATTGGCTCCAAAAGCTTCTCTACATGTCTTCTTTCATTAGCAAGCAAACTTGTTCTCAACTTATTATAACCTGGTGGTTGATATCCACTTACATAATTATTGGCAGCAAAAGAAAAAGCTCTCCTATAATAAGGATTTCTTGCTAAATGAAATGACAATCCCGATGAGTAAAACATCCTAGCAATTTCATAGTTTAATGTCTCTCTAGCTTGCATATTGAAAGCTTTATCTAGTGATCCAGATGTTTTCCTTTTTTTTAGATCAACACCATCTATAGATGATTCATTAGAAACCGGAGGCAAAGGGACAAATTTTGTCTTAGACCTTTCTATCTTCAATGTAGCTTCATTGTCTAGTTTTGTTAGTTCACCAAGCTTCAAGGGTGTTATTTTTTGACAACCTCTAACTCCCTTTCCTGTAATCTTCAACAAATGTGCTCTCACTCTAGTATAAGATCCATTGAAAGTAAGATTACAAATATTGCATTTTACTTCATAATTTCCACCACCTCCACCAACACTTTTTATCTTTGTAACATAATTCCATAGGGGTTTGATATCATCATCTTGTAAAGGCTGACTAGAATTACTCATTTCTACAGAAATGAAACCAATAACATGATTTTTCTATGTTCATAATTCCATAACTATCGCATTCTAATAAAAAAAATGAAACATTATAAAGGAAAACAAAGCAAAACAAAGACCTAAACAATGGACAACAAAAGAGAGCATGATGCAGTGGAATACCTGAACAACAATGAACTCTCTACCCTTTTCTCTTTCACAAACCCTATATTCCTCCCTCTCTGTAAATGGGTTGGAATTTCATCTTCTGGCTCTTCATTTGTTTCCCTGCCAACATTGCCCTTCTCGCCTCCACTCTTTCCCTGCCAACATTGCTAACAGTGACTCTTCAACTACTTCGTTATTTCGGAGTTCATTGGGCAGAGAGCATTGTGTGGTCTGTGCTCTCGGATTAACTGCACAGTAGCACACAACAGAGGAAAACTGGAAGGAAAAAAGGAAAGTTTTGGTGCAGAAATGGAAAGGTGCAGAGGAAGGAAGGAAGAAAGGAAGAATACGTGCAGAGGAAGGAAGGAAGAAAAGCGGGAGAAAAAAGTAAATAGAAAAAATTCAATTTTTTTTATAAAAGCTGTACCCGAGTCGGAGCCGTGTCTGACACCGTGTTGGATTTAGGTCATGCCGTGTCCACATGAATAGAAGCCTCGCGACGCGTTTTTGGTGTAGGGGACACTGCAAAAAAGAGTCAGACATGCTTCCGCGAAGTGTCGTGGCGGTGTCGGTGTCCCAAACGTCCGCGACACTCCAACACGGATGAGGGGAGCCGTATCGGTGCTTCACAGACAGTACCATTTCATGATTAGAGATGATAACATTGAGCATGCCCTGATATTGTGAATGTATTAGAGAAATTAATCTAGTATATTATTTGTGATATCAATTCAATGGAAGCAATAATCAATGACGTGTAATAAATCGGAAAACATTAAAGCTTTAAAATGACTGATAATGTAAAAAGAAGCTGCAAATGATAGGAAAAGTAGAGGTAAAAAAACAATTGGAAGTTGGAACAACGATGGTTTTGTCGTGTCTAGACACATCTTCAGTGCCTTATAAACCCTTTTTATTGATATGAAGCTGCAGAAATTACTGCCTGAGCAGTAAGCATTTCAACTGTCTCATCCCTTGATTAGTCTTTTCCTACTTGGTCTGTCTTTCTTTGCCATTATTTAGTTATTTGACTGTCATTTCCTCGTCCAAAAACTGAAAAATTGTTGCCTGTAGTGTATCTTTCCATCATGTTGTAACATGCATCCAATTACCTTTTGTCAAAAGACTTTTTAGGCACGGGAGACAATTATTGAGTTAATAATTAATTATTAAGTTGTGCAACTTTTAGTGATTGTGATTAAAAAAAATATTTCAATGCCCAGTGTCTTCTGAAGATTCAAACATCAAAATTATGGTTAACTTTTCCTCTTATGTATACATTTCTATTTTTATTGTTTTTTCATGTTGCAACTTTGAACGAATACGTTTCTATATTAAATTTGGTTCAGATTTTTGAAGTGGGTGATATAGCACTTTTGGATGACAATAGAGATGTTGGTGCAAAAAATCTTCGCCAACTTGCTGCGCTGTACTGTGGTGCTAATGCCGGATTTGAGGTAAATGGCACTTCATTTGGTTATTTGCTCTTTTAATGTAAGTAATTAAATTTGCGGTATTTGATGTAACCCTATCATTACTTCATTGATAAGAACTCGGCTTAGAAAATTGTTTATATTTTCAACAAAAATTGATTTCTTAAATAGATCGCTACTCTTCAGTTACAATGTATTATTTATAGACATGGTAAAAATAAATTGGATGGTTGTATTTTAATATTTATCCAATTATATGCAGATAATTCATGGCTTGGTCGACAGAGTAATGGAAAAGAACGGTGTTCCCTTTGTTTCACCTGGCGATAAGTCGGGCTATTACATTGAGCGGTCAGATGTAAGTGAATAGCACTGCATAGGATTTGTCTATGTTTTATTTTTTCCTATTTTTGCAATATTTTTTCTCCTTCTAATAAACTGTGTACGAACTCACTTGCCTATTGAAGGAACCCGAGTTTCTTGCTGGTAGACAAGCTAGAATCATTTACAAGGGAAATCATGCTGGCACTTTTGGCATTGTTCATCCCGAGGTAGTACTTGTGGTCACTAAAATTATGTAATCAAGTTTTAATCATGGTAAAATTAAATATAAAATAAAAAAGGTTATAATATGTCCAATTGATAGTATACAATATGGCAAATCCTGTTCCTTGTTTTTGGGTAATATATTTTTTATGTAGTCAAGGTATATGTAATATGGGTATTTTTATGTAATATTTTTTTTGACGATTGATTAATTCTTAGTGCCAATAAATGTAATTTCTTCCAATATATTTCCAAACACTATATTATTCTTTCAAAACAAAACGTTTTGTAGTCTTATGCCATACATCTAAAACTATTAATCATGCTTGTTATATATACTTTCAGATATTAAACAACTTCGACATTCCCGATCCCTGCTCCTTTGTTGAACTTAACATCGAAAGTTTCCTATGAAGATTATTGTATCAAGTGGTAAGTGTATGTTCCCCCGACTGCTACGCCATCTCTTTCCTCAGGTAATTTTGGTTTGGCTGATATTGATTTCTATGTAGGGCACCCAAATTGACCCATGCACTCTTCTGAATATATTTGTTGATCAAACTGGGAATCAAGATGCTTAACTTCTCGAGTGACAGTGCAAATGCTTTCTGCTTCATGGATGTCCGTGGAATCTACAACTACACCAGCTGGGAAACGGAATGTTACTGATATGCCCTAACTTCGAGTGTTTTGTTGATTATATAGCTGTATCATTTTCCCTAGTTTCTTCGTTATTACATGTTGAGAATATCTGAAGCTACGAATTTGTTAATAGGGATAATCTCTACCATAAATTATATTTATTTTGAACATGGTTTGTTTTGGTCTTAAACCAAGACTGCAATGATATTTATTCGTTTAAAAATTTTGTCAATACTAAAGAAGAATGTCTGCTGCCTGGATTGCGGTAGTTTTTTATTTCTTTCAAAATCTTGGATGTTTTATGTTATAAATATAGACCTAGCAAAATTTAGCGAGCCCTAAAAGATGTTACGCATATCATATTGCGTGTCATTAGGCAATATCATAATTTTTCCACTTCTCGTTTTATATATCATACAATATTCCAAAAAATATATTGGAATAAACAAAAAACTTGTGAAGTCCATGGTACATTATACGAACGAGCTAAGGTTTATCCTTAAAAATACGGTATATTTTTCAGTTCCCCGGGCAAATTTCCACTAGACCGTGAACAAGAGAACAAATGCTGTCCCGTTCCACCAAAATTCATGGGTTTACGAACAAACCCTGAAAAATTCACTTTATTCACCTTGCTTTAAGATTTAATGTAGCTTATTGGCACTGCAGTTTGTTGCAGCAGTTGCAATTAAGCTTTTAGCATTGTTGTAACGTACGGTGGATTGAATCATAATAAGAACCGGATACATAAAACTAAAACAAAAAATAAAGTTCAATCTTTTTTAGGCCTAATTCTTTTGCTATTTAAACTGATATTTAACTTATATAGTTCATTTCATATTGTTTAAGAATATTAGTGTTAATTTCTTGATTTCATGAAAATAAAGAATTAAAATTTATAAATTATCGTAAGTCATAATCATTAGAAAGAGAGTAAAGTTTTAAATAATAACATCAAACAAGATTTATATATTTAAAATTTATTTATAACATTAATTTTATTTAAAACAAATTTCAACTATTTCAATCTTATCGTTATTTAATTACAATTCTTTATTTTATGAAAATTAATAATATTATATTAGCTTAACTAACACTAACATTCTTAATCATGGTAAAATTAAATATAAAATAAAAAACGTTATAAACTATTTTTTAAAATGTTTTTATATATAAATCACATAATATTTCGAAAATATCAAAAAAATAATATATATTATGTAAAAATAATATTATATTATAATATATTTATTTTATCATTTTAATCCATAATATAAAATTTTATTGATTTGATCATGATATGAAGATATTCTCTTTAAGATATGAACTAAAAAAAATGATATATTACTTATACACAATATTATGTGTTTTAATGACATGACGTTGCATCTAACATCATCACTTAATCACGAGACTTGAAAAAAAAAGATACAAATAGTCAAATTTTATTACAAAAACCAAAATAAAAAAATAAAAAAATAAAAAAAAATTAGAGACCAAAACGATAAAAAATAATAATTAGAAGAACCAATAACCTATGTAAGTCAAATTTTTAATATACATGAGTATTTTAATGGAATTTATAAGGGCGATAATGGATGCTTATATTGTGAAGAGTAAAATAAATGATGTTCAAAAGCAACACTCATTTGAACTTTCAAAATGTTGCTCCATTGTGCATGCCCTTGGTTGTGCGAAATTTGGGCAGCCCGGCGAAGTTGGACAAGTTATGTCAAACTCCTAAATAAAATTTGCTCCTTAATAATGTTGTTTACATTCAGATGATTGACTAAAGTACTTCCCTTTAGGGTAGCTTTATTAAGAACCCAGCAAGTAACTGCTAGTTCAACTGAAACAATATACACTTTGAATGAGCTACATTTCGCAAACTCATTTAGTTACCACTGAACATTTTCAATATACAGAGTATATAAATACGGCAAATTCAGTTTCATAATCAAATTTTTAGGTAATTTTAAGATGCATGAAATTGCCCACAATCATTCAGGGGCAAATTCCGCCGAACAAACCCAGAAAAAAACTGGATTAATACTACGATGGGTGAACAGTCAAAGTGCAGTCCAACTAGATTGATGAAAAACACAAGTTCACATACTCTTCATAACACCAACAAATTCTTCAACGTCGTCTAACTTCATTTTTGAGAGGCCTGCAAGCAGGAATAATGAATTAAGAAGAATCAGAATTAACGAGTTCAACCGGAAACTTAATGCAAGTTGCAATACAATGAATGGGATTTTCGTTACCTTTAGCAGAATGTACAGCAGATAGATCCAGTTCTGTGCTATAGATCCCTTTTGTTTTCATTTGGTCAGTCTCTTCAATCATGCTGGAGTTGAGCTTTCCAATCTTCACTCCAAGTTCTGAGGCGGTTGTCACAATCTCTATAACAATCAATGGTGTATATAAAATATCTGTCAACTCAGACACTTAATATAATATCAAATTTATTTTAACAATAAATTCAACCAGAAAATACATTATTTTCCAGCATTTTGTTTACAAAAAATAATACAAGACACCTAAAAAATGTTGTTCGCATTATTTGATAAGATCTCCCTTTAGTTCAGGTGCTTAACATCCCAATCCATGGGCACCTATTGTGGTGCCCCCTAAAAACTTGATGTGTTTTTTAAGAAGCTATAAGGAAATAAAGAAACCTTGCTTACAACTGTTATGTAATGATAAGAAATGATGAATAAAACTCAGAAAAAAAAAAGAAAAGACCAATGCGTACATGAATGTACATCATTTTGACAGAATGACAGGGTATGTAACTGAAAAAGACAAAAGAATAAAGAATAAGAAATGCCTTTCCTGAAGACTCCTAAAAAGGTTTCTCTTATTAATCAAGCCACGTTCTATCTAAATTGTACATATCCTAATAATTCAATGTTCTTTGGCTTCACTAAACTGCACATAAAAAGCAAAATGCAGGTGTTGAAACACATAGATAGAGTTTAGAAATGGAGTATCGCCTGCTATTGAAATGGAAAGCATAAGTTTGCTATCAAAAATAATTTTCAGTGGGACAGGATTGTAAATGCAAATGGTCAACATGTGAACAAAAATATACGGAACTCTTTAATTACCCTGAAACAACTCATGCATAGAGTTTTGCTCATATAATTCTATTGCTTCATTGACATATCCAGCATTCACATTAGATTTTCTTTCTAATGCTTGAATGTCTTGATTAAGCATTTCAGAATCCTTCCCCACCTGACAGCATAATCATTATCAAGATAAATTATTAAACTAGAATAAATTTTCATTTATCAATTCTGCAAAAGAAAGAATTTAGCAATCAGCATGCTTATTACCTCCTTTAGTTTTTCTCTCAATGAATCTAACTGGGCATCTACATCTGGATCAAAAGGAGCACCTAGATCAAGGCCACTTCCATTTGATTCATCCTGGAAGTACACATTCTTCCATGGTCATACAATCAGCCAAGAATCAAGAATGAAAATCTATAACGTGGAAGCAATTGTTCTCAACTAGCACATATACTTATCATTTTAAATTACATAATACTCGACAAGAGAGAGAACAAAAAAACTTCAAAACAGCATGGAATAATACTGTGGATAATGTTTCTTATGAATTGTGATATCTTTTAATTGGATGATGCTTTTAGAATTTAGATGTCTGCTTTTCAGTTATGCATTCCAAAAGAGACATCCACCAAACTCAACGGATCATATATACACTTCTCAGCATTCTCTACAGTGAATATTCATTCATCAATGTCAAAAAAGACATATGAGCATAGATAATATTAACAAACAAACACTACACAATGAAGTAACAGGGGTTCTGTGCCCTGGCTCTCTGATAGTCAACTCAATAAGAATTAACCAAAAGCAGTGTTCTTGCATCCAAATCTAACAGAAATTTCACCTGGTCTATTGCAATATGTCAACCACTAATGCTATGAACGTAAACATCAATAAATAACAATCTAGTACCACTGAAGTTTTGTCAATAAATAATGCATAAACACAGTAACAAAAAACGGAAAAGGAAATAGTTAAGAAGCAATTGGAGCAGAACATACAGTGCTTGGCATACAAAAACCTTGGGGAAGAGAAAAACAGTGACGGAGGATGTAATTCTCCCAAGCACCAAGCTGTTTATCCAAAACAGATTGAACCCTCTGACGAATGCAATCAACACCCTTTCACAACACACCAGTAACATCACAATATTATAATTCATAATTAACATTAATTGCCCTAATTATTGTGTCCTATACAATAAGAAAGCTAGAGAGAAACCTTTTTTAGATCTTGGGACCTTTGGGTGCCTTCAATGTTCAGCTTCTTGGATGCATCCCTACAACTCAAGCACATATCCACATAATTTTCAGAAACCAAGTTTCAATAAATCTGAAAGAAAAAAATAAAAAGAATTACTGGTAGAAGAAATGAAAAGCTTCATCGAGCACATCGTCTACGTTGTTGAGAACTTCGTTACAGAAGAGTTGTGGGTTCAGATTAAGAGCATCGAACACAGCCTCACTCTCACTCCCTTCCATTCCCGCCAAAATCCTGTCTCGTCTTTCAAAGTGTTTCGCTACTGCAAAGTGTTGCAGCGTCAACCATTTGATTAAATATTGTTTTTGTTATTTTTGATTGAAATTATGAAATCCTGGAAATACATAGAAATATAACACATAATAATAATTTAATTAAAAAATATTTTCTCCTTCTCCTCTATGACTAATGTTTATTTTTTAAATTTATTTTATTTTAAAAAATTTAAATAAAAATCTAAAATCATTTATTTTCAATCAAAATAAAGAAAATATTTTTTAATTTTCTAAATACGATAAATATATGTCACAATTTTAATCCCAAAAAACTAAAAAATTATTTTCTATCAAATATGCTTGTCATTCTTTTCAAAGGTTAATCAACCATGAAAAATATCATGAAGTATTACTGTACGAAACATAAGGAGAAATAATGAAAATTTATTGATTAACAATATTTTAAAAAATGGAATAAAAAATAGTATTTTATTATAAAAATAATAGTTTATTTCAATTAATTTATTTGAAAATATGAAAGATTCAATAATTTAGATTTTTTTATAAAAATTTCTCCTGATATAAATATTAAATTATAACATTTCATTATCTTAAAAAAAAACTGTTCTATAAATAGTATAACAAAAGATAAAATATTTTAATTATTTAATCATTCACTACAAAATATAAAAATATTACCTTAATATGTACTCGCTTTGTAAGATGTTATAAATTAAAGTATCGTACTATTTATCCACATATACCTATTATTCGTTACTTAATTTTATTGATTTTTTTTTATAGAATCAAGTAATTTTTTAAAAAATTGTGTAGACAAAAAGTATTGATTAATTATTTAAAAGTTATTTTCAAAAATTCTCTTTTTTTATTTGGATTTATAGAATAAAAATTATTTTTAAAAAGGTTAATTTTATTTATATTTTATAATATCAATTATTTAAATTTAATTTCTAAAAAAATATTTTATTAAATTAATATTTTATGATGTATTTTTATTTTGATTATTTAAGATAATTTTTTAATTAAGTTTATATATCTTCTAAATAATTTTAAATTAAAAGAATCCATTTTATAAAATAAATCAGATTACTTTTTAAATGAATTTATAAAAATGATAGGATGAAAAAAAGATACGAGAAATAACTGATAATTATTATTTAAAATCGTGCAGTTCCATTGTCATCTTCAACAACAATATAAATGAGTAATATAAATTAAAAAGAATTGGTTTCGTACAAATGATGACTTCCACATAAAAAAATATGTAACTTTTATTTATATATATATATATATATATATATATAATAATTTAATTATTATTATTTTTTTCATTAATCTTCGACTTGTAAAATAGGTCAAGCTGAATTTGACGATGTTAATGTCTTTAAATTCTCTCACCCACCATGGAAAATGGTTTGCAGCATCCTAGGAGTGGGGGTAATTTGTGTTTGCTGTAAAACAGTTTGCAGTTAAAAATTAATGATAAATGTATTTTGTTTATAATAATTTTCTATTGAAAAAAAAACTAAATTCTCACATTTTCATACTAATATAAATATATAAAAACAAAAATAATCAAAACTTACAGCAAAGAAAAGTTTGCATATTTCAAACCAACATTATATAAAAAACAGGATAATTAACAAACATCCTCGACTAAACTCACAAATTAAAAATTTCAATAAATATAAGTACAACTAAGAAAAATTGAATATCTCATAGAAAAAATTCAGCTCATAATCCCATCTACAATTTTCACAAATATTGTGGTCATCATGATCTTTATCTTCCAGTATCCAAACACCATTTTTAATCTTCCATTCCAACCGTGCATGTTTTCTTGCTACCACATAAAGGGGTTCGATTGTACATGAACTTTACATCAGGTCTTGTCCGCATAGATAGTATTAATTTTGATACCCTTCTTCTGCAATATATAACACAGTTGGTCTCCCTCAAAAATCTCACGTACTCAAGTGCGTGTGTTCTCAAATCTTCGTCCTGGGAGCATAACAAAATCACACCGTATGCGTGTTTTGCTTTCAGATGACCTTTTTCTGCAGCCATCTTTAAATAATTGAGACCAAATTCTCGCAATCCTACTCTAAACAAACCTTCCATACTGTCACATTTCATACAACTTCGCAGAAAGGACTCGTACTCTCCATCCAAAGAAATTTGCTGCCACATGTACTTATTGGAAGTGACTTTATTGGAGCTGAAGAGGTAGATTCAGTAGCACCAGTGAGTTTCATCTTTTCTGTTGGAATGGAAGAAAATTCGTTACTGTGTTGCCTCTTGTTGCAGCATTTCTTCTTCATCAATCTTGAAGTAGTCATGTTTGTGTGATACAGAGATTGAAATTTGAATACTCAATCTTGAAATTTACATCTTATCGAAGGGATGAATGATTATGTTTGTGTATATATAATTAATAGATGAATTATGATAAAAATACATCCTCAAATATATCTTTTCTCATTAATTTAATCTTTTACCAAATTTATCTTATTATATGTTTGGTATATATTTTTAAAATAAATTTTATTTTATCTTATTTAACAATTAAATCTGTTACCAAATATTATATTATTGATTATGGAGATGATATATAGATTCTGCTATTTATTAATATTTTATATCACCACTACAGTGACTCCTGTCATTATAAATAAATGTTTTCATATTTACTTTTATTTATTAATTTAATATTTATTATTATTACTATTCAATTAACTTTGAATCTGATAAAAAATGTTATCTTATTGATTGTTTAAATTTTTACCAATTTTAAATTAAATAATTATATATATATATATATATATATATTTACCAATTTAATATTTTAAAAAAATATCTTATTGGCTCTCGAAATTAAAAAAAATTATATTCTATGTTTTATTAATATTATATTATTGATTCTAATATAACAAATAAATGGAAAATTGATACTTTAGTTCTTTTAATTTAAAAATAATAAATTATCTTTTTATATTTTTTTATAGTTTTATTTTTATATTATTTAATTTTTAATATTTTTGTCTTCGTTGTATTTAAAATGACATTTTATAGTTTTTAAATAAATAATTATTTTTTATATTTTTCATAAAATGATATTTTAATTATTTTTATTTAAAAATATGGTATTCACTACAAATTAAATAAAATAATGAAAAAAGAAATTTAAAATACAATTTTTTTAAATAATTAAAAATCTTATTTTTATAATTAAAATAAAAAAGGTAAATGATATTAAAACACATAAAAGAAACAAGTATCGTTTATTAAAATATGAGAAATTAATATTTATTTAAAATTTATGTAAGTTTCAATGTTTATTTAAAATTTATAAAAAGTGTGATTTTATTTTATAATATAATATATTTAAAATTAATTTTGCAAATATAATTCAATTAATATTTTATAATGTAATTTATATAAGTTTATATCTTTTAAATAATTTTTTAAAATAAATTTATCCCCATTTATAAAATAAGTCATATTTTTTTAAGTGATTATATTTCAAATATAAGTAATAAGATAGCTTTTTAAACAGAACAAATAATTTATAACTAAAAAAATTCAAAATTGTGCAGTCCGATTATATTTTTAATTATAGCATAGTAATTAATATAAACTAAATAAATATTGGTAAAAATTAATGACTTGCACAAAATATAAACTATTTTTTAAATTATTTAATTAGTTAAAAATATATAATAATTTAATTTAAACAATATTTTTTCCTTCTCACGATATTTCACTAATAGTTTTTGACATAGAATATGTAAAATTAAATGAAAAAAAAAAAGAAAAAGCTAAAAAAAATTCTTTTATCATTTTCTTTCTCTCTCGCTTACAAAACTTCACATGATATTCGTTCATCAACCGTTCAACGTCTCACTCAAAATCATTTCCCATGCTTTGCAGCATGCGAGGAGTCTGTCCGTCGTGACTACTAGAAAAACACGTTTACAGTTACAAATTTATCATAAATGTATTTTATTATAATATTTTTTATTTCTAAAAGATAAATTTTTGCATTTTCACACATATATATATATATATATATATATATATATATATATATATTAAAAAAACTTAGCAAAGAAACGTTACATATTCTAAATAAATATTATTTCTTTTATTTATATATATATATATATATATATATATATATATATATATAACTAAAAACAAACATTCATCTACTAAACTCAGAATTAAAATTTTAAATATTTTAAAACAGGTACAACTAATAAAATATGCTATAGAAAAATTTTAACTCATGATCCCATCTACAGTATTCACAAATAGTATAATCATCATCATCTTTGTCTATCAATATCCAACCTCCCTTTTTTATCCTCCAACCTTTACATGTATTCTTGCAGCAACATAAGGTGATTTGATTTTGCACTAACTTTTCATCGGGAATCCTCCACATAGATCGTACTAATTTTGATACTTTTTCTCTGCAATATATAACACACTTGGCTTTCCTCAAAAATCGTACATGCTCGAGTCCTTGTTTTCTCAAATCATCATCCTGAGAGCATAACAGAATCATACCATATACGTATTTTGCTTCAAGATGACCCTTTTCTGCTGCCATTTTTATATATATGAGACCATTCCCATCCTTATAATATTCTCGCAATCCTACTCTGTACAAACCCTCAACATTTCCACATTCCTTACAACTTTGCAAAAAGGACTCGAACTCTTGACGAAGGGACCATCCATACAACTGGTGCTTTTCCAAAGATATTTGTTGCCACATATACTTGTTTTTCGAAACAAGATAAAAGTCTTTGCAACATATTTTTATGCTGTAAATATCAGTGAAGGATTCAGAGAGTACCCTAGCAAACACATTTGCCAACAACTCTTTCGGAAGTGATTGTATTGAAACCGAATAAGTAGATTCAATAGGATCAGTGTTTTTCATGTTGTCGTTGGAAGAAATGGATTCATTACTTATCCGTTGCCTCTTGTTGCAGCATTTCTTCCTCACTAATCTTGAAGTCGTCATGGTTGTCTGATACCAAGATTGATGTTTGATTGAGAATTGTATGTTACTGATGGAATGAGTGATTCTTTGTTTATATATTATTTTTTCCTGAGATATTTAATATATCAATTATAATAAATATTTTTTTATCAATTTAATCTTTTACCGAAATTATCTTAATGATACAACTGCTATTTATTTTATCTTTTCAAAGGAAATTTATTTTATCTTACTTTAACCATTAAATCTTTTATCAATAATTGTATTGTTGATTACGAAAATATAAATGCATCTGCTATTTATTTTATCCTATTTACTAATATCTTATATTACCAATATACTCTTCTGAAAATGATAAATAAATTTTTTTAAATATTTAATTTTATTTGTCAATTTAATATTTTGTTAACATTACTTTTATTAATTTAAAATAAAGAAAAAACTTTTTATCTATTTACCAATTTAATTTTTAATAATATTGTCTTCTCCTTCTCGAAATAAAAAATAATCATAATATTTACTTTAGTCTTATTTGTCAATAGAATTTTTAATCAATAAATTTTATATCACGAATAAATAGAGAAATTACACTTTTATATTACATTCACATTTTTTTATTTTAAAATAAAATTTCATATTTTTATACTTTTAATCAATTATATTTATATTTTTCTTATTTTTATTATATTTAAATAAAATTATATAAATGATAGTTGATTCTTTTATTTTATTTAAAAATATTAAATTAACTAAAATTTAAATATAAAATTATAAAAATACAAATAAACAAAATTTAATTTTAAAATTTAAAATATAAAGACATTTTTTTATAAATATAAATAAAATAATTGGGATAAATATCAAATAAACACATAAAATAGGTGATAGCATTTATGAGAAGTGAATATTTATTTAAAAATTATAAAAAATGTTACTAAAAATATAATAAAAATAATTATAAGAAGGTGAACATCAATAATATAATATGTTAGAGGATATAAATGTAATTCTCGCTGAATCTGAATATGATAAACCTATGCATTTTGTTTAGTGATCAATTTAATTTTATTAATTATATTTATTGAATCTGAATATAATTAATATAGCTAGACGATTATCTTATTTATTAATTTAATTTAATTAGTATTTAAAAATAACAAATAAGGATTTTTATATATAATTTTAAAATTATTTATCATTTTAATATTTTTCTAATTAACATTATTTGGTTGACTCCGAATATGATAAATATATAATATTTATAAGTCAATTTAACATTTTTGTCAATACTTAATTTTGAACATGATTAAAAGATGTTATTATTTTTTTTATATTTATCAATTAATATTTTAATAATATTATCTTATTGGCTATGTAAATGATAAAAAATAAATAGATTATTTTATTTACTTTATCTTATTGAATAAGTTGTTTTTAATCTATATATATTATCTTATATTGACTTTTATTATAAATAATTTTTTCTGTGTATTTTTTCATTTATTATCAATTTAATATTTTATATCATTATTATCATTGATTCTGAATATGATTAAAAGATTTTTATATTGACCACTGTTTATCAATTTATTTTATTTAAATATAATTAATAGATCTTACGATTTATATAATTTTTAATATATAGATAGTTTATCTTATTAGTCAATTTAATATTTTTATCAATTTTATTTTATGAAATCTTAATATTAATAGATTTTCCATATATTTTTACCTTATTCTACACATTTAATCTTTTATTAATATCAGATTAATAATTATGAAAATGGTACATAAATATTTCTATTTTTTATTTTATTTATTGATTTAATATTTTTTTAATATTATTGTATTGACTCCAATATGATAAACACATAGATTTTAATATAATAAATAAATATATAGTCAACTTTTTGTTCAATTTAATAATTTGTTTAAAATTTATTTATTGATCTGATCATGATTAATATATATTGCTATCTATTTTATCTAATTTATCAAATTAATATTTTTATTGATATTATTAATATTTGAAAATATAAATAAATACTGTTATTTATTTTTACTGTATTTACTTTTATCAACATTATCTTGTTATCCTAGACACAATAAATTTTTTCTTTTAATTATCAATTTAAACTTTTATAAATATTATTTTATTGATTTTGTGTTTATTTTTTCTATTTTGTTTATCTTGTTTATCATTTTAATCTTTTATTTTGAAGGAATATAACTTGTATGCAAATTATACTAGTTCACATTAATTGTTCTAAAAAATAATGATTATTATTGTGAATAATTAGAAAAAAAAATGAAAAGATGAATTGTTCTGGAAAATATTTAGTCATGACAATGGGGTGTGACGAATTTTGTCTATCCTATCTATCCCAACTTTTTTAACCGTTTTTTTCTAAATTTTCGTTGGGATTAGAAATTAAGTTATTATATCCAGTTTTTGTTGAATTTTAAGTTTCTCGTCCTTGTCTCATACTTCGATCTACATTATTTTTAAAAAAATAATTATGCTTATAATAAACTAATTTTATCATTTTTATGTATTTTTTTACATAAATAAATATTTATATTTTGTAATTATTATTAATTAAATATATATTTTAATTTATTATATTTATATTAAAATATGTATATAAAAAATATTTAATTATTTTTTCTTTATATAGATATAAAGTACTAATATAATAATAATAATAATAATATATTCAAATATTTGAATACTTATAATATTATTATTATATCACTATGTAAATATTTGATTATAGGTATAAATTAATTCCTTTTTAAGTTGTTATTTAAAAATATGAAATATATAATTTATAAGAAAATATTTAATAAGTTAATTTTTATTTAATTAGTCAAAGTAATAAAGGTTAAATTATCAATTATTTTTAAATTTTTAAAATACAATTATTTTATTAAGATAAAATATGATATATGACAAATAAGAATAATAAGATAAAAAAATATGACATGATAAAACTAAATAAAGATAAATAAATAAAATAATATTAGCTACTACTAATATTTGTGTAAAATATTTATAAAAAGATAAAAAAACAAGAAAAATTAAGTTTGTGTTTATCAAATTGATTGAAAAAAACAAATTAATTAGAAAGATTAAGAAAAAGTGAAAGATAAGAGTAAGAGAATAATAGAATGACCTAATTGATATAAATGATTAAAAAAGATAAAAGAATAAAAAAGTGGGTAAAAGAAAAGTAAAAATGGTGAAATATTAAAAAAATGACCTTATATGTAATGAAAAATGAAAAGAAAATAATTAAAATATTAATATTTTAAAATTTAAATTTAAATATAAAGTTGGGACGAAAACGAGGTCGGAGTGGAAATTGTAGTAATCATCTCCAGTCTAAGTCTCGGTTAATTCGATTTTTTCCCGTCAAACTCGGGATAGGAACAAATAGGTTTCAACGGATACGAGTTTAATTGTCATATATAGAAATAATGATCATTATTATGGATAATTTCCAAAATAAAAAATATATAAAAACAAACAAACAAAAAGTGGTCAATAATAATAAAAAAAGTTTAAGAGAGTTGAATGTAGACTAATAACATTACTTGAGTTATGATACGGTGGGATAAGATAATAATAGAAAGTAAAGGATTGAAAAAAAAAGTTTAAAAAATCACTACTACAAATAAAGCTTTTAACGTCGGTTTAGAAGGCTTTCAACGTCACGTTGAAAGTATGATTTTTTAGATTAATAATTTTTATTTATTTACAACCCCTTTACCCCTTTTATTTATCTAGAAGTCTCCCCTCTTTTATATTATATATTTTAGAAGTTTATTAATTTATTAAGAGAATTGTCATTGGCAGGATTCGAACCCGAGTATCTTAGAGTTAGAGGTCGATACTCCAACCACTAAACTACTAGAATTTTCTCGATAATAACTTACAAATAAATTATATTTATATACAAATAAATATATATACTGTGTAAATATATAAATACAAATATATTTATATATTTTGATATATTTATATAGTTATATATTTATATGTTGGATGTGAGGGGACACTCGAAAGTGAAAGTGTGTGTCGAGTGGGTTTTCAAAATTTGATGCTAAATTTGTGAGCAAATATCTTTATATGAGTTTGTAATTTAATGACAGAATATAATCTTTATAATTTTATTTATATAATGATATAAAATAAATTTGGGAAACGCGTCATTCGCTCTCAAGTGAAAAATACCAATTTTCGCTCAAGCGAGGCTTGAGTAAGTGAATTTTCGTGAGCTTTAACATATTTTCACTCAAGCGAGAATCAATCCAACTTTCACCCTTAATCGAAAAATACCAATATAATTTATTTGTAAGTTATTATCAAAAAATTATAGTAGTTTAGTGGTTGAGATATCAACTTTTAACTCTAAAATACTTGGGTTCAAATGCTTGTCGGTGACAATTCATTAACTTAAGTGAATTTTTGACTGAAAAAAAATAAAAATATTTTCCAGAAAATATATACAAATAAATATATATTTACATGGATATATATTTATTTGTATATAAATATAATTTATTTGTAAGTTATTATTAGAAAATTATAATAGTTTAGTGGTTAGAGTATTAGTTTTCAATTCTAAAATCCTGAGTTTGAATCCTGCCAATGACAATTTTCAAATTTAAGTGAATTTTTGGGTGAAAAAAAAAAGACTTTCCACGTACGAACCGACATGGAAAGTGTCAATAAGTGAAAAAAAATAAAAAATAAGACTTTCAACGTCGGTTCATATGAGAACCGAGCGTAGAATGTGTTTAATATTCAACTTTCAACGTCGGTTCATCTGGGAACCGACGTGGAAAGTACTTTCTACGTCGTCTCGGCTATAACCAACGTTAAATGACGACGTAGAAAGTATATTTTGTAGTAGTGAATTGTTTAAAAATAAATAATAATTTTATTATTGTGATATTATTTGATTTGATTTTATACGTAGAATGTGTTTAATATTCAACTTTCAACGTCGGTGTGG